GATGGTGCCAGCAGGTTGGTCTGCCTGGCCCAGGGCGTGTGTTAGGGACAGCCTGGCTAGCTGGGCCTCGCATTGCACAGGCAGGGAAGGGCCACCAGTGCTGAGCCCGGGGCCTTGGGGCGGGGCTCCCAGAGGCTCACTGCAGCAGGCAGCACGCAGCAGGGAAGGAGGAGGCAGGAGGCAGGAGGCAGGAGAGAGAAGGAAAGAGGCAGGAGGGAGGAGGGAAGAGGCAGGAGCCTACCTGGGCCCGATGTCAGCGGGCTTGAGGTCTCCAGCCACGAGGGCCACGAGGTAGGCAGGCACGGGGTGCTCCATGTGGAAGCAGTAGACACCCTCCTCTTCCACAAACGTGCTCTGGGTGGCGCTCATCAGCACCTGCACCCCCGATGGGGCCTGTGAGAAGGCAGGGCTGAGGTCCCTGCACTGGCTGGGCACCCGTGGTGAGGCCCTCCCCCACCAGAGAATGCCCTGCCTGCACTGCATCCCAGGCCCAGACTGCAAACCTCCTGGCCCAGTCGGGAGGCCACACTCAGCCCAGCCACCTATGGTCCCCACCTCAAGTCAATCAACTCTGCCTGGGGCTACCCGTCACCCCGGGTTTAGGCCCTTCCTGCAGAGAGCCCTCCTCTCAGGGCAGAGGCTCCTAGGACAGCGGCCAGTGGCAGGGGCCATGGTAAGGGCAGGTGATGGAGTGAGTGTAGCTCTGGCCTGCCAGGCTGGTGGGCTCAGCTGCTGCATAGTGCCATGGCTGGTGGCCCTGACCTTGACAACTGCTGAGTAGGTGCACTTGACCGCAGGCGTGTCGAAGCACGGGAAGAAGGAGCGGTTGCACACGGAGTGGCCCTGGGTGAACACGAAGGGCTTGGCGCTGCCATAGGTCAGCTCCGGCTCCAGCCACCAGATCTGCGGGCAGGCAGCGGGTCAGTAAGGCCGGAGCCCCGCGGCCGTGACTGGGCTCCCTGGGCGCAGGGTCACTGCTGCTCTGGGAGCCTTGACACCATCCACCTCCCCACGGCCGCGTGGGCAGCTGAGCCAGCATGGGCACGGCCCATGACCAAGGGTCAGCCCTCTCCAGGTGGGAGCGAGCTGTGCCACAGGCCAGGAAACCTCCCCATCCATGCCAGCAGGAAGAACAGAAAGAGCCCATCTCGGCACCCTGGGCTTCCAAAGGACACCGAGGCACGACTATAACAGTCCAGATCTCCACAGACTGGCAGCCAACCTGGCCCTGGCAGAGAGGGAGCCGGGAACCCGGGACACAGAAAACCAGAACTTCCTGAGGGTCGGTCACATATGGGCAAGGACTGAGCTTCAGCCCAGGCCGGCCCTGGAAGGGGCGCCACTCCAGGAAGGGGTGCACAGAGATGGGTAGAGGGCAGGTGCGCTGCGGGAGGGTGCGCCCCCTGCAGCTGGGGCTGCGGCCACCTGCCTGCACCTCTGCCTTCACCTGAGCTTTCCTGGGCTGTGCCGCTTCCCTCTCCCAGATGCTGAGAGGCCAGCCCCACCCCACTGGGGACCCCGCCCCAATGTCCTCCTGCCACCTGGCCAGCATCTGGCCACACCCTTCTCATCTTTTCTGAGCATTCTGGCCTGTCTAGCGAGGCCAGCTTGTGATCTGGGAGGGCACTCTCGCCCCACCTCCCCTCTGCCAGGTAGCACCTCGTCGAAGCCCTGGACTGTCCCTGGTCCCCTTCGGTGACTAAGTATGCACAGGCCTTCTCAGGACCACAGACGGAAGACCCCAGCGACACTCTAACACGGATGCACAGCTGAGGGCCCTGTGGGGACAGGAGAAGCACACCTGGCAGCACTGCCTCCCCCACAAGCAGTCACCGGCCCTGTCACGACCTCCTCTGGGCTGGCTCCCTTTTCCTTCCCTTTCTGCTAAGCCAGGGCAGCCCATCGGGGAACTGTAGGTGCTCCGGCGGACCAGACTGTAGTCCCTGGAAGGACGGTCCCCACACAGCCCGGAGCACCACACCTGACAGTAGGGCCAGGAAGTCCACAGGTGTGCACCTGCTCTGGGCTCTTCCTGTCACGTGTGGCCTCCTGTGCATCTACACCACCCCTCCACTAGCCGTCAGTTTGTGAGAGTCCAGAACTGACTGCATCCTGGGTATGCACGTGGACTGTCCCTGCACCATCCCGCAAGCCCTACCGCTGAAGGAGGCCGAGGGGGCCTACGGCCACAGCGGCCTCTGGGTGGCAGGTACCCAGTGCCCACAGTGCTGCAGGGCATCCCTGTGTCTGTGTCAGGGGCTCAGTACCCACTGCAGGTTCTACCCCAGAAGGCCCGCAGCCATGCCCCACAGCGTAGGCACCCTCTGCCTCTGCGTGGACTGCTCGTCCCTTACTCCACACCAGAGACCAGCCAGTGTCCTCCAGCCCTCTGAGGGGCCAACGGTGCGACCATTCAGCACTTGCACCCCCAGCCTAGCCTTGCTGGCAGGCCCCAGCACACATGTGGCTTGGCAGGTACTCAGAAGCAATCCTGTTCCCGGGTGAGGACAAAATACCTGAACAGCAAGCCTCCCTGGGTGACATGCTATCCTTCGTCACCACTGGCCAGGACCCAGGACTCTGTCCAAGGCTCCCGAGGGGACCCCGAGGGCAGGCACTTGGACAGCCTCCAGGGCCAACCTGCCCCACCCTCTGCAGGTGCCCCAGGCCCAGGCCACCTGCCTGGTGCAGGGTGCGGCTCGCTGTCTCCTGCCAGGCCTGCAGCCCCGGGGGTGCCCACCCCGGACTCACGGCGGGGGCGTCAGTGGAGGTGTAGCGCAGGATGACCTGGAAGGGCTGGTGCGCCTGCAGCTCGGACGGCAGAGCGACAGTGAGCGAGGAGCCGTAGTCGGTGAACGGGGCCCACCTGA